CACACACACACACACACGCCACTCCCCCCAGCCACTGCACAGGCCCTGGGACACAGCGAGAGCGAGGGAGGTCGTGTGGTGTTCAAGCCTCCTTTGACATTTCCGTTAAGAATTTTATAAAAGGAATTTTATAAAAGGAGATATTTTTTATCCATATAAAATGCAAAAGACATTTGCCTCATTTCTTTCTTATTCTGTTTCTAACCAGGAGGTTCAGTGGGCTCAATAATAAAACATGCAGGGAAATCTGTTGCCTTGTTTTACTCAGTTTGTTCCTTAAAGATGAGATTGAATTCATTTTAAGCTTATCAGATGATTTTAAGTTCAGGGTGAGAAGGAACTTTTTATTTTATTTATGCAGTGCTTATGTGACATTTTGTGTGTGTCGTTGTTTTTCTGTTTGTAGCCATCTGCAGCAGCAGGCAGGTTGTGTGGGCCGTTCCGTGCGCGAGCCAGTCAGTCCTGTTCTGTCTCTGTGGGTGCTGTGTGTGTGTGCTGATCTGTTTTATTCTCTCTGCTCAGTGTATGTACATTTTCCTGCACACGGTCAAAGGGACACCCTTCGAGACCCCAGATCAGGGCAAGGCCCGTCTCCTCACACACTGGGAGCAGATGGACTATGGAGTGCAGTTCACCGCCTCTCGAAAGTTCTTAACCATCACACCCATCATCCTGTGAGTGCACACACCTGCACGGAGTCACAAGGTCTTTTCAGGTTTTGATGTGCTCAGCACGTTTGTGCTCTCTTACTGTGGAAAAAGATGCAGCTTTTCAGAAGGACAGATTTGGAGCTTTCACTCTCACCCTCATGACAGCAAAAATGACAGCAAAAATGTGCTTTGGAACAGCTAATTATTCCTCTCAGCAGATGAAAGTAGCATTTCTTCCACTCCTGAAATAGCTCCTGGTGGCTCTGAGGTGCCTGTCTGTGGCTGTCTAAGCAGCCTGTGTTAGAAACCTCTAGGACAGTCAGACTGACAGTGGTTTAGTGTGAATTATTATTTGAAGAATGTGTCTTTACTTCGTTAGTACACTATGGTGGTGTTTTTGTATAGTGATTTAAGTAGTTTAAGTACTGCTGTTAGTCACACTATTCAGTTATTGCAGAGTAATGATGAGCAGTGATTAGTACTGTTGGGTCCTGGGTTAAATTCTGGTCTGGTGTGCTTTTGATGTGGAGTTTTGTATGTTATCCCTTAGATTTTTCTTCAAGTGCTTGTGTTTCCTCCCACAGTCTAGAAGCATGCTATCCAGGTTAATTAGTGTGTCTAGGTCTTCCCCATCTGTGCGAGAGTGAGTCAGTGTGTGTGCCCTGTGATGGACTGGTATCCTGTCCTGGGTTCAGTCCTGCCAGGCTGGGCTCTGGCTCATCGTGACCCCTCTAAGGAGAAAGCATTTCCTGAAAGTGAATGTGTGGAAGATGAGTGAACCAGTGATAGACTTTCACTAGAACATTTCTGAGCGGACTATAGCCCTGTTTGGAAGTTTACTTTTTTTGATAGCTTTAGCGTAACAAATGTATTTCTCTGCTCTCCAGGTACATCCTAACCAGCTTCTACACAAAGTATGACCGGATCCACTTCATCATAAATACGGTTTCCCTCGTGACTGTGCTCATTCCCAAACTGCCCCAGCTGCACGGCGTCCGGATCTTCGGCATCAACAAATACTGACGCCCTGGAGGACTCTGACCCTGACCCCTGTCCTTGCAACCCTCAGCTGAACCCCGCAAACTCGTGGTCCCCTTCTACCCTGGCAGAGGAGGGACACCTGCAGGACTGGTAATCCAGTGCAGCACAGCTTTTCACACCTCAGTGTTACAACGGGTTTTGGACTACAGCCATGAGAAACTAAGTTCAGAAGACCCAGAGAAAACAAGTGACTGGTTGCCTGCTGTGCAAAAGCCCTTAAACTTTGTCTGCTGAGCTTAGTTTCCTCTCAAACCTTCTCATTTTATTATGTTTCATTCTCTTAAGCAATATTGTGTTCATAGATATGGTTGACAGCATTTCACAGATCTAGTCTCATTAAGGGCTTGCAAACCAGTTAGGTGTTGAAACAGAACCCCTCTGTCTGCTCCTGTTTTGCCTTGCCCACTCAGAGATGACACATGGCAGAATGTGTGGGCAAATTTATGCCAGAAAACCCCATTGACAATCAAAGCAGAGGCCTGCACCCTACAAGAAGGCCAGAAGAGGGTAGTATCTGCCCTGCAGTGTTCTGGGCCTCCCTCTGTGCTCTCTGCATCCTCTCTGCTGGATTCAGTCTGCTCACTTTTCATTACCTGTGTTTGTGTGAATGTGTACGTGTTTGCTAGTAAGTATTGCCAGAGCATTGTCACCTGTTGACCATGGAAACTGCAGGCATACAATCTCTGATGCTGGGTAGATTTTCATTTTTTTTTATTCAGTTGCGACTGCTAATGTAATGTAACCATTTTATTAGGAACTGGCTCCTCGCTCTCTGTTGAGCAACTAGGACAAAATGTTTGGCTGCGAAGTCTGCAAAGCAGAGAGTTGTCAGTCTGATGTTAAAAGTCAAAGGGAATTAGCAAGGCTTGAAAAGACTGAGGAAAGGGAGAGATACTCGGGGAACCACAATTTGTCGTGCTGCTTCATCGTGTAGCTGTATGATAAAGGAATCCCTGGGTTTCGGGTCTTGAAATGAAAGCCTTTATCAGACCGCAGCCTAGGTTGTCTTAATGCGCATGTTTCCTGTTCAATGTGATAGCTCTGTATTGGAAATGCATCCTCATGCTGTGCATAACTGGATCACCAGATTTCTGTTACAAGCCATTTTTGAAGAGGGAGGTGCATTTCAAGGAAAGGAATCATTAGGTCAGCACTCTGAAGCTATTTATAGTTGCTTTTGAAACAGTTTTCTCATATTATAGAAACATATGCCTTTTAACTGCAGCAGCGTGCAGTAGTGCTTTGGGCTATGGCCTTAAGACTGGAAGGTTGGCACTTAAAATCTTGTCAGGGTCGCCTCTCTTGTACTCTTATACTGTACCAGGTACTTCAATTGCTCTGATAAAAGTGCCTAGCTATACATATTGGCACAAATGCTTTGGATAAAAACATCAGCTGAGTAAGTTAATAATACAGTATCCATTTTTCCTAAAGTAAGCATCCTGATATTGCATCGTACTATAACTCTCTCATTGCATTCTGTGATCTTTAAACGCACGGTAACTGGAGACAGTATTGCAGTCTTGTGCGTTCTGATTTTTCAACATCACTCTTTCAGTCGTCATCCTAGACAACAGAAGAGAGCCCCTCTCTCAGGAAACAAACTGATCTGGCTATCTCTTTCTGCCAGGGAATTTTATTTTTCGTGTTTTCAGTAAAGCTGCTTAGATGTGGCTTTTTCAGGCTGAACGAATTGCTGGGGATGAGAGGGTCACACTGGGGAACACCCAGACAGTGCGCTGTTGAATATGGGGGTTTGCTGGAAAAAGAGGGATTCTGAGGGTCTGGCAAAAACATTGACTGAATGGGAAATGTGTGGAACTGACAAGAACCGTGACGTCTCAAACACATTAAAAACTCCCCAGGCAGGAAATAAAAACAGGACACAAGTCGTACTTACAGAAAGATCTTCTGGAGTCACATTTTTTGTCTACTCATAAAGTGTCCACACACTATCGTGGACGTGCAGAACGTTTCAAGATAAGTCTTTGACAGTTCGGCGAGGAGCTGAGAATCCTGGGTCGCAGAGTGACTGCCTCTTGCCAGCTGTGTTTGAAGTGGCTGGTGGGAGTCTCTAGCCAAGTTTACAGCACGCTCGGGACTCTGAAGGATAAAAAAAAAAGTTCTTAAGTGCTTTAGATGCCCCATATGAATAGTATGTGGCACTGCAGAGTGGGGGAAAAATGCGAGAATGTGATTCAAGAATCTGGGATTTTAGAAACCCAAGGATGGGAGATGTTCTACAGGAAGGCTTGACTAATTGTTAGGAGACTTTGGCTGCCAGAAGGTTTCCTGTTCTGAATCCAAGCTGGCAAAGGCCTTGCTGGCCAAGCACCGAGCTTGCATTAACTTTTTCGGGTACAACTTTTTGCAATTCCGGTGTTTGTTTCACCTTTAGTGCTGTCTGGGTAGTTATGACTTAGGCTGCCTCTGCATTAGTTCTAGTATTTAAAAAAAAAACTAAGTGGGATATAGAGCTTAGGGATAACTGGCTAGTTTTACTTTATTTGAGTATCAGAAAGCATGTTTTTAATTTAAAGTGTGTATTTTTATTTTTAATGTAATTTATGGAACACTATGTAGTGATTTGAAGCATGTTTTCTGTGAAAATCTGGTACTCGTCTGCGTGTGTGTGTCTAGTTTAATATTCCTAGTTTGCCACCCTTCTGTTACTTATGAAGCAATGCTCCTGTCTCGATAACACAAATTGACAGGCACAGATCTCCCTGCCCTATGAGCTAAAGCGTTGTAATCAGGTAGTCTGAACAGTTAGGTTTGCCTGCTCTGGTACAGGGTACATATTTCACCCATGGTTGATGGTTAGCCCTTATTTTCATTTGAATAAGTCTATTTGCTGGTTAGGACCAAAAATTCCCAAGTATCGGAATGTGGATATTCCCGGTTTCTTAAGTGACCCATCCAGGTCCTTGCAGGTTCACGTTCTGGGTGTGACAAAGTAGAGGTCAGGGCAGGCAACCCACAAAGACAAATGCATGGGCCCTTCTGTGTTGTGGGGCAGCAGGACGCTGGGCTCTGCCTCAGCGGAGATGTCTGGGTTCAGAGACTCGGTAGAAACAAGCGTTCGGGCCCAGACGTCAGGCGCGGTTTCCTACCCTGGGAATCTCAGAGGAGGAAAATGTGAGGCTGAAAGTGGATGAATGTACTCGCGTGGAAGAAGTTCAAGTTCTCTTTTCAAACCTGCGGGGACAAGCACGACGTTATTTTAAAGAAGGGAAGGGGAGAAAAGAGGGCTGTCCAGTCTGTGTGTGTGTTTTTATATTTGTAAATTAGATCTTAACTTTGCACAAATAGTTTCAGCTGTGTAGTAGGCTTGGGCATTCTGTAGTTAGCCATTTGCTTGGTTTAACATTCTCTGTTTTTATTTTGTTATTTTCTTTCCAGTAGATCTTTATCTATTTTTCTAGTAGTTGAAAATATGTTGTATTGTACTTCAGTGACTAGTCAAAGAGAAAGAGGTTGCTTTTTTTGGGCCCCGGGGGAGCATGAGGGGCAGTGTAGTGCTTGGATCATGAGAGCTGTCAGATTCTGAGAGGACGCTGTACCCCTGGGGTTCCCAACCCCAGACCCCACTGGCTTTCGTTCCAGTTTAGCTGTCATTTGCGTAATTGAGCCCTAATTTGACCAAACAATAGGACGTATGAGATCTCTGTTTTCAGCTCCTAAATACACTGGGGGTGGTGTTTTACCCACTTAGCCATGTAAATTCAGTAACTTCAGATCTGCAGCCTTTTGAGCAGAAAAAAAATATTCCGATCACACTTGTTAGTTCAGTTAAGAAATCAAATAAGAGCTCAGCTGGAATGAAGACTAGAGGGTCCTGGATCCTGGGTTCCCAGGACCATTCCCAAAGCTAAGCCGCGCTACAGAGGAAGCCCGCGACAGCCGATACCAGCCGCAAGTGTTGGTTAATGGTGAAAGGAGACAAGACTGGAGGTGTAGAAGCATTTCAACAGCTGTTGGCCTTGTCTCCGAATGCTGTTTACTTCTCATATCCCATTGCGTAAATCAGTACCAGAGTAGTTTTCTTAAAATTTTAAAAGTCGGTTTGCCTATAAATAGAATCTGCCGAGTTAAGATTCCTGATAGTTTCTTTGTGTTTTTCAAGTTCTCCAGCAGGGATCTGTAGCATTGGCTCATGTCCTAGTTGTCACTTCTTAATATGCTTCTCCCTGCGTGTGGGATTCGGTACCCCAGTCTGTCTGGGATTTTGCAGCATGATGTGTTTCTGTGAGTTATAATGGGCACTGTTAGCCAAGGTCGTATGAGGCAATTGGCTGAAATGAAACACAGAGGGACACTGCAGACGTTCTCGTTTTTACTAATCCTTGTTCTATTCTAGGGTTTCATTTTAGGAATCACAGAAGACTAATTAAAACAGTGGAGGCTCACGTTGTCTGTATGGCCTGGCGCCTGTGCAGATTCGGGAATGAGCCTTGCTGGGGGGCATTATCTGGAAGTGTATGTAAGGTGTAACTGACGTTTAAGGAGGCTAAAAATCACCATCCCTGCTCCTTCGTAAACAATGTTACACAACACGATATAACAACATGAATTTTCCATTTCAATCATCCATGCAAATGACTATTCATGGTAGCAGTTATCTGTAGCGGTTCATAACGAGACTTGAGTTCCGCTGACAGCTAAGAGCAGACAGACTCTAGAGAGGAGTCAGGTGAGGATTAAATCAGTAAGGACTTGAGAGCTGACACATAGCTCAGTAATAGTGATCCTGGTACGTTTGTGTTCAATTTTATGTTGCTCTTTTTTTTAGGCATTCTGTTTTATTGTTTTACATAGTGTCTACAAAGCACTTATGCCGGTGTTCTTTTTATCCTCACTGAAGTAAGATGTTACTGAATGTGCCCTGCAGTAATGGCTGTATCACCCTACAGGGAGCTGGGGTTCTGAGAGCACCCCAGCATTTCCCTCCTGAGCTTTTTCCTTTCCCAGGTACAGAGCTTGTTGTCCTCTATGTGGTTACTCTTAATTTCCTGTGAGTTGCCGTCCTCTGGAAAGGAGGAGAGATTCCTGCTTTAAAACACCTGGCATGTCAGGTACAGTCGGGCCACTTGATTGGCAAGGCTTCTGGAAAAGACTGACTCCTGGGAGCTCTGTGTAGTTAAAGAAACTGGTCCCAGCCACCGTGGTACAGTGGGTTACAGGAGTCAGTTCCACTAATGCTGCATGATAAGGAGATGCTCTTCACTGCAGTGGGCTCAGAGAAAATGCCATCTTCTGGCCTGCAGTTGTTACATTACCTGCTGGTTTTCAGCATCCAATACCTTGTCTTGTGTGTTTTGTTTCTTCCAATGCAAATTGGAAGTATGTAGACTTTCTTGGGTTAGGAAAGCAACTCTTTAATTGCTAAAGAATGTTTTTTTGTTTGTTTTCTTCTTATGAAAATGGGCTAGTTTTGCAGGACAAACAAAAGCCGGAGGTACAGTGGTTTCCGCACACTTGTTAACCCATTAGTTCAGCTGTAGAAATGCACAAGCTAGGGAACAGGAATGTCCTCTGACACTTGGAGCTGCAGGCTGGGAGGAGGGGGGAGTCTCTTTCTTGTTGCAGTGGGCTGCTGTGTTATAAGCCTGCAGATGAGCTGCGACAGACCTGGGTGATGTTGTATCCTGAAACACCAGTGTGATAGGCGTTTTAGGAACTGGAAGAAAGGGGTTTAGGAATTGGAAGAATAGGCTCTTGGTATTTTACACTGGTTTCCTGATGTCTGTTTTGCCTGAAAGTGCTGTTCTTTAGGGTGTATTATGCCTTACTTCCGTTTTGTCCATCTCACCTGGGGAAGGTGAGGGAGACAGAGCTATCTAGAGCTTCTGACCTCTACTCACAGCTGTCTTTAGGAAGTTACGTGAATTGTGGCACTCTGATCCCTAGTGGAACATAGCCTGTTTTTGTATTTTTCTTTCAAGGGTGTGTCTTAATCCTTCCTGGTGTTTTAGAACGAGAAAATTATGAATGAGGCACGTGTGACAGCATTAATGTCCTGTGTTGTGTTGAACGGAGAAGCATATTCTAGGCTGGGTCTCCATTGGCATGTTTGGAGGAAGATGAATTGAGAAATTAAGGCAAGGAGATGACCCTTCTGAGAGCTGTAAACTGCAAAGGTCTCTGCAGCACTTAGTTTGCAGTTAGTGCTATGCTAAAGCTTTCCCTTGTCAATACATTTCTTTCCAAAGAGACACCCTGTTACAGTTCACATGAAGGAATATGCACACAATCACAATCGATCTTAATCGTGATGTTGGCAGTGAAAAGTCCAGTATATTTTTTAAAGCTGTAACACATGGGGACAGAATCACACACGAATAATCACAGACCTTCTATTGAAGGTTGCAAAACTGATCATTGCGTGAGAATTCATTATTAGAAATAAATATACAGTAAGTCACAGCAAAAGTTTGAATAATATAAAATAACTTTCATTTTTTGTCTTTTTGGGGCCTCATTGTAGTGGAGAATTGGCTCGTTAGCAAAATGAATCTCTCATGCCTGCTCTATTGTCCTTTTTCAATCCACTCTCTTAAAACATCCTTTCTGTCCTAAAAGCAATAGGAAGCCATGAGAGTTTGTTATCTGAAAAATCCACCATATTGTTAAATTATGTATTATAAACCCAGTTTATGTGTGCTAATCATTTGGCTTAAAGTTTATGACTTCATCATTAAAGTTAATCATCGGCCGGCTCTCTTTACAATTGATTACATGACAGTAGAGTTATGTCAGCTTTTGCAGAAAATAATCATTTAAACCTACTTTTAAGAAACGGTATAGGAGACAATGTTACAGATTACGAAGTACCACTCTTGTTGCTTTTTACGTTTATACTTTTTACCTTTAATTAAGATATGGTTCATACTTTACATAGAGGCCATGACAAAGTAAAACTTACAGTAGGCAATATGCAAAACAAACATTTTTAAAAAGGTGAAAGATTTATTAGAAGAAATTAGAGAGGATAATGTTAAAGTGTAAAGCAGTTTTTTGACCTTAGTGAAATCTTTTTAAATGTTTTTTATTGCTTTCTCTCCTCCTAGCCTTTACTGACAGAAACAGTGCCCTGAGCACCCCAGCATTGCAGTGTTTATATCATGAGCCTTAACCTCGCTGATGAAAAGGCATTTCCTTCCACAATAACAAACATCTGTCTAGAAAGAACAGGAACTCCCAGTGCGACTGTGTTCCATGCTGTGTGTGTATATATGTATAGTGGTACTTAGAATAAAATGACTCATTTATCCAACACAAATTAAGCATGGATATCTTAGGGAGAAACTGAGTTTGTGTCACAGATACAAAAGTGGAGTCTAAAGCTCTCTCTTTCTATACGTGTTTAAAAGGTTTCAACAGCATTTGTCACCTCAGTTGCTGAAACCTTGGGCGTAGGATGGGGGGGGTCTCCTCAGTGAGCACCCCAGAAAGCAGCAGCTGAGTCCTACACTGGACTGCCGGGCAGGCTGTGTGCGAGCTGAGGCAGCACAGAGCTGTCCTGAGATAATGTCGTGGAGCGCAAGGTCTCCCAGCCCTGGTCCTGGTGGGCTGGTGTATCTTCAGGTTGTCAGTCCAGCTAGGCTAGAGGGACCTGAGCCAGCTCGTTATTGACTTAATTGCACCAGTTTAACAGCATCTCCCAGATCTCCAGGTACTGCTGCTTTAATGAGCCCGGAAAAAGCCTGCAGACACACTGGATCACCAGGACCGGGACTGGGGAACCCGGCTCCAAAGGTACTGTTTCACCTGATGCAGTCTTTGCCGAATCGGGAAAGAAACCCAGCTTTGGAAGACTTTTGGGAAATGGGCTTTTTCTTTCCCCAGAGCCGCGACACATGTCAAGCATGTAGATGTAGATTCACCCCAGCCTGGTGTCAATCCAGAGCCAACCCGCGCGGTTTATTCTCCGCGAAACCTTGGGTTGGACCCCACGAGAAGCGCCGGGACGGTTCCTGGTTTTTTGGGGACGCAGAGCTCCTCCGAAGCGGCCGGCCACGGTGGCCTGCCCTGGCTGCTCCCATGAGTGTCCGGAGGCTTCCCCGGCTCCCAGCGCCGCCGGCAAGCGGGGCAGCGAGAGAGGGAAGCGGGAGGAAAGGAAGGAGGTCCTCTCTGGCGCTGGGAGGAGCCAGCCTCCTCCCAGCCCTGGGCTCTGGCGAGATCTCTGCCCTCAGCTGTCCTTTAGACAGAGAAACTTTGTAAAGCATTCAAGTGTGCAGATATTATTTTTTACTACTCCTTTGTACAGTATTCTGAAAAATTATAATAAAGCTCAGTATTCATGTAAAAAAAGGCATTGCTGTGATTGTTTTCCTTTACAGTGTCCTGGACAAATGTCTCCCTGGCCTTTACCAATCATGGCTTCCTAATCACCACTCTGTTCTCCTCCAGTGGAAACTACAACTACTACAACTAATTATTGCTTTTTGTCCTAATAATAAATCCCCACTGGGTGTCAGTAGATTTGTCAAAGACAAGTTGAAAGTGAAAATGTTTTTGCAGGTTGGAATTCAAGTAAAGGTAAGTGGCACGTCTTGGCATTATCCTTGTTTTTGTGAAAAGCACCCTTGAAACCACAGATTCCTGATCTGGACCTGATTGTACTTTACCCTTTCCCTACCCTAAGACCACAGTAAACCAGTAAGGAGCACAGTAAAGTCATGACGGCGCAAAGTATGACAAAACCAATAAACAGAAAACGCCCGAGCTCATTCCCTGGAGAAACACCCGAGGGTAAAAACGAGCAGGCTAGGGTTCTGGACGATTTTCTGTTTGCTCGAATAAAATAAGCAGCCTAGTACAGGGTAGTGAATTGTGGCGATGTTATTCTGTTCTTTAAACCTTTTTAATAAATCATTGAACTGATCCTTCACTAAACTGATCCTGAATTAAACCCTTCGCTTAAAAAAATCGCTTCGCTAAATTATTTGCTGAAGCCAATGTCGACCTCCCCTGGGCGAGTAGTACAGTACATACTGTGATATCAGTCATCCAGTAGTCGCTAAAAACTGTACTGTGATGCCGTTACTAGATGATGTTTAGGATGAAAGTGTACAGAAACTGTTTAAAGTTTGTCTAAAGTCTCGTTTGTTTTATTATTACTGGCCCAATAAGGTCCACCCCCCTCCTTTGCAAACTTCCATCTGGCTTGTCCGGTTTTAACGTTGGTATTTGGCAGAACTCAAAAACACAATGATTGCTTATAAGCCCAAGTATTTTTGTTTTCACTTTTAATAGAAGCACATTAGACAGTCTGATCCGGAGTCGACGACCAGGATAAGAGCTGAAAAACAATTCAGTAGTGTAGTCAGTACCCAAGAACGCAAAGTTCGTCTGTTGAAGTTTATAACGGAATTCTCGAAAAAACTACCAAAGGTAAAAAAAAATTTTAATTCGGAAAATCCCTAGTGTTGTATCATCATCACAAGGTAAATATTCACAACAAGCTATGGAGAAGCGGTCTCGTTAGAAAGTCCCGCGTTCGCCTGAAGCGTTTAAACCTGATTTTAATGATTAAAACAGAGTATACATGAAATTAATACCCCATTCCTTCTCTCTGCTCCTATCGTGTTTAATTCCTAATCGCATTTCTGAGGAACCGTTAAAATCCGATTGAATTTAAACAATTGTCCTACGGTATGGTCACAGCACGGAAGCACCTCCTGAAGGTACTATTAGCAGTAGTATGCTATATGCTGTAGTATTAATAACCTGCAATGTCTTGCGCTCATTTAATGATATTGTAGCGCCACGCAATATGATTTATTAGATACTCAAGAAGAGTATCGCATCTTTATACGAGATAAATGGCGCAGCCGACAAGCTCTGTCCTCTGTGACTCCAAAGCGGGACCTGTTTGGTTGGCAACTAGTTACACGAACATAACACGGGCCTGTGGGCCTGAGGCAGGGAGCCGAGACCCCCTACACCCCCCAAAAAACAAAATGTTCGTGAAAACAGCGACACCTGCAACTCTTATACCGTATGAGTCAATGTACAGTAACAGCACCACCGTTAATCACGATTAAGGCCGTCCTGTGGCACCTGGGTCGACCAGAACCTGACCAGAGCCGAGACCTCTGGGACCCCGAATCGCCATGTCGGCCCTTGTTAAAGCTCGGAAAGTTCTGGGCTTTTTTTCAGTGTCGTCGAAGTGGAGGTGAGAGATTCTGCGGTGCAATATTTTAATTTGGGGTTCCACAGTGAAGCTTTTCAAATCGTCTGGGTGTGAAGCCCCCCTCTGCGGGGCGCCCCCAAAAAAGGCAGATTAGTTGACTGTAATTCGATTAGTTTTTCTTAAGAGGTGGCGCCATTTCGACACAGAAAAGAAAACGAAATGAGGAAATCGGAATGGGCTCCAGTACCGAGTAAGTCACATTCGCTTATCAGGAACTGGTCTTCCTTCTACGCTTTTTCGCGCCCTTCAGGATGGGAGCCTTGATGTCAGTCGAAGGCATTTTTTTTTTTTGCCGCCGGAGCACAATGAATTTACCATTGCGTAATTAATGTAATAATGAATTTTAAGCGAGTTGAAAAACGAGTTTCAACAAGTGCGCTGTTTCCGAGTAATGTTCAGATTAAACTTCTAATTTAGACTTCTAATTTTTTTCTTTTGTGTGGGAAAGAAATGAGATAGCCAGGCAACAGATAATGAAAAGCTGATGTTAAAAAAATAACACGCACAACTCGTCGACTGTGGAACAGCTACGTTGCTCGCACAGTTTACAGTAAACGGTATGCGTTTCACTCTTCATGTTTCTTTGTCAATTTATTTGCCGGTAACAACGCTGAAATTACAGTTTGTGCTGCACGACAGGTGCTTCACACCCGTTTTCTTTTTTTACCGGTCCACGAAGTCCATTCGCCACATTTATTTTTCTAACCGTTGTAACCAGCAGAAGGTTCTCCGGAGAGCCTGAGCCTACCCTGGCAAGCAAGTCCGTTCACAGGGCACACACAAAACAGGAACGCAAACACACACGCCATTCCCCCACGTTTTCCTAGAAGCCAGCTGGCCTGCTAGTATGTCTTTGGGCTGTGGGTGGAAACTGGAGCACCCGGGGGAAACCCATGCAGACTTCGGGAGAACATGCAAACATCCGTGCAGACAGTGCTCCAGGAACTGATCCCAGAACTGTAGTTGTGTAGTCCGGTATAGTGCTATATTTGCTGGCTGACGTTTTTCTTTAACTATTGAGGAGTCTGCGTTCCCCACAGACGATGCAGGACAACCTGTCTCCAGGACAACCTGCTCGTAACTGACAGGGACCCCTGACTTCGGTCCGCAAGAGATCTCTCTGTCCAATCTAATTGAGGAATCAGCTAAACATAATTTTATTTGGTCGCTTTTCTCATTTTCTGAGGCTTCTCTTTTAATGGGCAAAGAAATAACAGAAATGTCTTCTGTCAGAGCAGGGAAATAACAATTGCCTTTATTCTGATCGACTCTTCCTCATACAGTAGAGCACTGATCTTTGACTGCTGGCCTCAGTTCTGCCATTTTAATCTTACTTCAGTCAATGGCTAAGGCATGCTTTTTGTGCTAATCTATCCAATTATTGTGTTTCACTTAAATGAGAACGCAGTTTGAATGAAAACCAAAACACCCTTCGGTCCTCCCAAATGAGTGTTGGCGTTCCAGATGTAAAGAGCTAAGTGCTGTTCGAGAGTTTTCCTCTGTCTCAGGGTGCTGTATCTCAGGAGGGTTAAAAGGTTGCAAACAAGATTAAACTATTTTTGCCCATCAATCTTGTTTGTTTAAAGAAATATTCAGTGTAACTGTTGTTAACTTGCTAATTTATTGCTCAAGTATATACAGTGTACCTTCAACAATACCAGGAAGCACCCAGACTTGAACCAGGAACCTTCTGATCTGTAGTTAGATGCATTTCCACTGACCTATACCACTCACATGCTTGTATTCTTTGCTCTCTGTTTGGTCAGAGGTGATCTCACCTACACTGCTTTCAATTCATTTTGAGTTTAACATTTAAAATTACAGTCATTTGAGTTCTTGGAAAAAAAGATTTCAAGAATGCACGAGCACGATCAATCTGAAATTGTCAGCAAGTACTTTATACATAGTGAGACAAGAAAGTCAAAAAATAAGATGTAAGGGGGCACCCGGATTTGAACCGGGGACCTCTTGATCTGCAGTCAAATGCTCTACCGCTGAGCTATACCCCCACACATGCTGCTTTGTCTGACCCAGGGCAGTGTTTGTGTTTTTCTGCAGGCTGAATAAGCTGTTCAAAAAGCTGACCAAGGACATTGTGAAGGAGCTGGACCCTCATGGCCACCTGCACCCAGTCCAGAGTGTCTATGAAGCTCAGAAGCTGGAGGTCCTTTCTCTGGTGAAGAAGAAGGTGGAAACCAAGTGGCTCTTTCTGAATGTGAAGAGGTTTACCTTCACTGGAATAAAGCTGGAAAGTCTGCTCTCCCATGGAGACACTGTGGATTTTGGTGAGAGAAAAAGATAGAGCGCCTTAGAAAAATACAATTGTGTTATGAATATTTGTTTATTTTAAACTATAATAGAATAGCCCCAGGGCTGAGGCTGTGTACTATGCATATTGGCATGGCAAGGTAAGGCCTGTCATTGGTACCTGCTGAGACAGTAAGTAGAAAATTAGAAAATGTGAACTCCTTTCCCAAATCCACACTCTTCTGGTCCTGCATGCCCTGCACCTGGGCCCATCTGTGTGGATTTTTCTCATTTGGTCTCTGACATGCCTGCCCAGCAGAGTCAGTCATTTTTTTCCCCCGCACATGGAAAGTCATAGTTATAGTTATACAGTGAGTGTGTGCCTTTAGTGGTTCATCCACTCAAGAGTCCCTTTTCTTGCACTTAATTTTAGAAATATGGCCACATGAAGCCAGGACATACAATAGACAGCAATGCATTTAGCATTATCAAAGACATTGATCCTAATAATCTACCTTGGAAGGCCTGGTTTCTGCTAAGAAGGTTACAAGTTCTGGGGTGTATGCAAGGGTATGTGTTGGGAATGTCCATCCAGGTTTGGAGTGAATAATCTTGTTTGTCCACCTGTGTGTCTGTGACCCTCTCTCACTCTGTCTTTTCCCTTCAGGAAAGACAACAAACAAACTTGGTTCAGTGAAGATGAAGCAAGAGGGTACTATTGATGTGAAAGCTCCTGTCAGAAGTTCTGTGGTGGATGGAGAGGCGGGGGTGACAGTGGTCAGCCGCAGCTCTGCAGGTTCCACTGCCATGGAGGTGGAAGCGGTCAACATTAATGACCTTCAGACTAAGCTGCAGGAGAGGTGAGGAGGACTGGGGACTAGGGGGCGGGGCTTCAGAAACAGGAAGGAAGAGAGGAGAGAGAGGAAGTGTGGCCACATTGATTGATGTGCTACTTGAAATTCGACACAGGACTGACTGCTTGACTGCCTGACTGACTAACACCACTGTACTAACCTGAAGAATACAGTGGTCTTGAAACAGGAATCCAAATATGGGTGCAGTTCAGTGAAAGGCAGGCAAAAGGTGAGGAAGCAGAGGTCACAGCCGAGAATTCACAGGGGAAGATCACAGAGGGTGATGCGTAAGGGTAGTCATAGAAACAAGCTGGGTTCAAAGCATGATAGACAGTTCAGGGCATAATCAAATTAGGTTAAAGCACAAGAGAACACAGACAAAGCACAGGGAGTGATCCAGAGAACAAAGTCAAGCAAGCAAGAGCACTAGCGAGAGAACGCAGAGACTGAACAACGACTACGCAAAGGTTACCATGGAGTTTTTTATGTGCTTCTATACTCTTTTGCAGGAAGTTCAACACTAATCACTGGCTGATTAAGAAGCCGAAAGACCACAAGTTGTCCAGGTTGTATGTGATCACTGAGATCCTTAAAACTAAGGAACCCATAGACCTGCAGAAGAAATTATGTGGAGATGCTACCCTCAGTTTGAGTTCCAAGAACATATTCACGGTATGAACCTTTATCTCCACACTGCGCTCTTGCCATCTGCTCCTTGTTCAAACACCAGACTATCTGCCACCCTCGATCCCTTACAGTTCCCAAGATTCTCACCATTAACTCTCCCTGCCGCCCTTTCTCCCTCACCTTCTCTCGGACTCCACCCACTAACCTTCATGGGTCCCTGCCCCCCCACAACGTCCCCCCAGCACCCTGGACTCTCTCACGGTGACTCCCCGTCTCCGGCCTCTCAACTCTGAGTCAGACCTAACCCTGGCTGCGTCTGAGCTCAACACCTCATCTTTTCTTAACATTACTTTTCCCTAATGGAGTAAAGTTCCTGCTTGTTCATTCATTTCCCATCCTTGTTCCCCTATAGAAGAGGTGTGCAGCATTTGTATAGGAGAGGCACAGTGTCTAGCCAAGATTCGTATTGTCTGTTAATAACTCCATCAAACCAGTTACTTGCTTATTTAATCACTCATTTTCCAGGGCCAAGGGTTATTTAAATCTGGTTCAAACTTCAACCACTATGGCACCATAGGACTGGGGCTGCAGGCGCCCACTCAACTGTTTGTTCTGGCATTGTGTCTGAAACTTGACCTGTTGACCCGATTCCCTCTGGCTTGTTCTACCTCTCTATCCAGATGAATGCAAAAGCAAAGGGAGATCGTGAAAAGGAGCTGAAAGTGGAGGTAGGAGCCACTCTTGTGTTCAAGATGCTAGAGATCAAGATGGATGACGATGGACTTCTGAGTGAGTGTCTTGTTTACTCCTGGGTGCTTTGGCCAGTAGCCATGCCACCTTCTGTAAAGTTCCCCGCACAGGCAGGGCCTGGCCATCTGAACTGCCCTCTGGGACTGCCTTATGTCACTCTCCTTCCTCCCCTGCTGCTCATCCTCCTCCCTTTGATTTGTTTTACAGAAAAGGTTGCGGGAGTATTGAACAAGCTACCCAGCCGTTTTTGGCTCCTTTCATGAAACAGCTGGATGAGATCCTTGTGTCAATTCACTACTAACAGATGGGCCACGTGGGCTGAATGGCCTCTCATTTGTAAACGTTCTTATCTTCGTATCGCCGCAGAGCCGTCACTTCTGTACACTACATTGTACTGCTTTTGTTTCACTCACTGTGGACTAGGTCCTTAGGCTCCTTCTAAAATTGCAATGATTTCTGTGGTTTGTGTTGCCAGTGAGTCTATTATGTTGCATTGTTGCAGTTTGGTTCCTGCTGCTCTGCTGTATTTTTGCAGCACACTGATTTTTCTGTCAAGCCCTTCTGTATCAAGTCTTCCTTGATTAAAAAACGTTGCCTATATAAACAAAATCTCCAGGGACCAGGGGGTAGGCAGGCTTGCAAGGGCCCAGTTGGAGATCGTTCTCATTTACCATCTAATTCAAAGCAAGTTTCCGACAGCTCTTAGTGTGGTCAGGCCCATGGCATAACTCTCCTCCCTTTTATTCCAGGTGAATTTGCTGAGGAAGAAAATGACAGCAGCTTCTTTGATGTTGATGGTACGGTACTCCTCTTTTTCATTCATTCCGGGAGTCCTAAAGAGTCAGTGTCTGTACTGCTTCAGTATCTGTACCACTGGACAGAAATTGTATTGCAACATCTGTTTTGCTGTAGAACATAGAGAATAGTCTTGGTAGGGGTTCTGTTTGCAAACACTGGAATAGTGTTTTCATAAACTAAGTCTCATGGGACAAGCGCTTTCCGTTTGCCCAATTAAATTAATTCAGGTGTAAGTTAATGCCACAAAAACAGAATCCCACATCAGAGAGTTTTTTTTTATCTAACTTAGTGTTATCTCTTGATCTGGGATCATTGCCTGGAGTGTTGCTTAACCTTTTTGTTTCCACATTGATCTTGCAGGAGTGTCTGATATTGCAGCTAATGCTAGTGGTAAGTATTAAAGATATAACATAAAACATTCTTGGTGAGACTTTAAAAAGCAAGGAATGCAAAACAGTTTTTTGTATTTTGCAAACAGGGGCTCTGTGTTTTACTATCTATATATACAGTATTAAAAGCATGTTTTGATGATCCATATCTGAATCAAGGTTTGTTAGTGTAACACATATGGTTTGCTAAATTGTAGTTCTTCATCATCAATGATACTGTACCTCTCCCAGTTATTGCACACTTATTTACCTTTGTAGTTGGTAGTTAAGATGTACTACTTAATTATTTCAATTACAGGAGATCAGTGCCTAGAACTGCAACAGCATATTGGGTACAGGGAAACGTAATCTCTTGCTTTGAAAGGATGTTATTCGTTTGAGTCATGAGCTGTGGTTAAGTGCCTGCACATTTGTTAAATTGTGTTCTACAGCAGAAACTTGTCACTGGTAATGGAGCTGAAGTGGCTGCATTTGTAACCTGTCCTCACAGCACTGGGGCTCAGTACTCAAATGCACAGTACTCAAATTTGCTGCCATACATTTTTATTAAATTAACCGTTACAAAAAAACCCTTTTATCAGCACAATCATGACACAATACTGGCTGTTTTTTAGGCTGCTGCTACCCATTCGTTTTTGCTGAAATGACATACAGTACATAGCATTAGCAGGTTGAAGTTCATGCAGAGTCTGAGACAGTGACTTGTGTTATTTGTCCTTCAGATTTCCTTGCAATGAAGCAGCAAGTTGAGAGGGAGTTCCAGGAATTCAGGAATGTGGATAGTAGCTTCAGGAAACATATCTGGAAGCTGCTGTCCCAGACAGTGACATCCGGCCAGGCTCTGTCCACTCTGGATAGCATAGTAGGGGTGATTTTTGGGAATGCGCTGTCTATCTAAGAGCAACAACACTCATGACCCTGACCCACTCGAAGAAGGAGTGTGTGTTCCTTGTTTTTTTCCCTGTGTGTATCTGCCCTGTATCAGGCATCCCTTGGGCGTTTCAGCTTCGCAGACTGCCCTGCCTGTAGGATAGCGTTACTCGCTCAAATATTTGTCCACCCTGGAAAGGATAGTGAAGGGGGTTTTTGGGTACTGTACTCTCGGGTGGCAGCAACACTCAAACATATATGGATTCATAGCTGTATAAAGACTACTCAGCCAAGGAGTAGTGTGCCTGCTGTATGTCATGATTCTCTTCAGGCAGTGTCAGTCTGGCAGGCCACCTCACTGGGTAGATAGATACCCAGCTGAAAGAATCAGAGCCACCTGGCTGAAAAACCATTTCAGCTTGCATTTCCAGAATTGCTTTTGATGCTAGAAAGCAAAACACTTTCAATGTTGCTTTGAAAACGGCCTGGCAGGAAGCGTCAGGTTCTGCCCATGAACCGCACCGCACGGGCCAGCCCCCAGCAGGAGCCCAAAACGGACCTGAAGGAACTTGCACACAAACAATCCAGGCTCAAACGTGCAAATATCCTGCTAAAGAAAAACAGAAATAAAAGACCGTACTACAAAGCTTGAGAGGGTCGGGGAAAGCTGAATTATACTGATGCACCAGTGGTGTGTCCTGTCCCATCCAACTCAGATCTTTATTGCTGCTTACACGCCACATGCTCTTGAGTTGCACTGCAGGGAGCTGCAGTAGCCGTGTGCGGAGACACGTGCCTGAGTGTTCCTGTGTGTGTCTGCAGCTGGAGGAGGAGCAGGTGTGCCCAGGCGACCCCTCTCCCCTGGACGCTTTATCTGAGGGCGTCAGGTCCCCAGTGAAGGAGCTGCTGTCCTACGTGGGACTCGACCCTTCTGACCCTGTGAATCCCAGCGAGCTCTGCTCCCCCCTCCGCCTCCTGGTCAGCGCTCTCAGCGGTGAGCATGGCTTACATCATTGCACCACCCCCGGGGCGCAGTACTGTGTAACTCTTTCTCACAGCACAGATCATGGTATTGTATCTTGTTAACAGAGCTGCCCTCGCAAAGTCTGGGTTTATTTGACATAACTATGTTCAGCTTTGGCAGCTGTGCTGGTCGCTTTTACTGTAAGGACTTACAGAACCTGGTCTGCGTTCGTCCATTCGGGGACGGGGGTGACAGCAGGACTCTGGCAGGGGTTCCAGAGCGCAGGGACTCACTGGGCGCTTGTGTGTTGCAGAGCTGGAAGGCTTCACTGCGGATCTGATCTGTGACCTGACCAGCGAGGCCCGCAAGGAGCAGCTGAAGCTGGTGAGCAAACACTGAGAGGGGCTGAAGGGAACTGGGAGGAACTGGGGGGACTGGGAGGGGCTGACAGGGACTGAAGGAGACATAGAAGAGTCTGCATTGCCCTTGGTAACCTGACCATAATACTGACTGAGCTCTGTGAGCCTGCAAAAAACACTAATTAAATCCTGGAAATATAGCACATGTGTGTAAACGAAACTGCAGTATATATATAAACAGCTAATTACATGTACATTTGCTCTGTTTTCTCCTGTCTAGTGGCTGAAATATCTTTTGAAGTTCTTAGAAACGCCGATCACACTGTCATAACAATTCCTCATGTGGACAGAGCATTGAGCAAGTAAACCGCTTCTCTGCATGCAGTGCTCATCTCTAGCAAGTCAAGGTGACCAGGCCCTGGTGTCTCTGCAGGTGCAGTGGCTCGTGGAGCAGGTGTACAGCGGCTCCAGCCTGACATCGGCCTGGTCTGAGCAGTTTTCCCAGGACAGCCTGCGCTTGGCCAAACAGGTGCTGGGGTCCTGCGGGCTGTGCTTGGACGAAGGGAGGCTGCACCCCAGTCTGGGGTCCCCCTCGAACCCCGATGTCGCCCTCCTCTCCTTCTACATCGCCTTGCAAGGCCTGGAGAGCCTGCTGGAGCAGTAACCCCTCTCTCAGAGGCCCAGACACTCAGTGAGCACTCTGGTAACACACTGAGGCTGTCCAGTTATAGCCTGTATCCAAGCCGCTTTTCATCAGTGTCCAGGAGCCCGTTGGCTGAAGCAGTGTGCAGGAGCTATATTGTACTGAACTTGAATATTTTTACTTTTCTACTTTTTTATGTGCTTCAATCTATTACACTATAGCAAAACATGCCATCTCCCTTATTTCTGTGCAGTTCTCTCTGTCACCAGAAGAGAGTGGCAGTTTGCCACTAACACAGCGGTTTCAACCTCTAATCTGACAGTGGTTTCAGTGCATCATAATATTGCTCTTATCTCTCTAGACGAAGTTTGAAACTGCTAAACCTGTTGTTTCTCAGTCTATGCAGGAGGCAAAAGCCCTTTGTAGTAAATGTGTCTCTGACACATACAGTATGTTGGTTTCTGTTGAGACTTGGAAGAGAGGTTTCTTAGCCAGCAGGTACATTTTCGGTTTCTGTATAAATAGAAACTTAGGGTCGGCAGGGGGAGTTGGTTTCGCTTTGTCATATTTATTTTCCATTTTTTGTATCCTTTAAGTCATCTTCTGTAATGCCAAATGTTATAGTTATCAACAGTATAATCGTGTTTTAGGAGATGTACAACTGTTTGCTTAATTTATCGCTAAAACTTATTACAATGTATTGTCCTAATAATTTTGTCTGGGACTCTTATTCTTTCCTCGGGGGGATACATAAGTAGCCTATTATAGCAAAATATTAAAATATTAATCAAACCTTCAATCATGAGCCCTAGAGTTTCATTCATCAATGGAAACGCATTTTGTTACCCGTAGCAGTGATGTTCCTCCGCAATATACAGTAAATACGGACGATATTTGCACCCCACTCTCGCTGTGTAATTCTCGTTTAGACTCTGGCCACTCAGGAAACTTTCCTTAAGGGTAAAGATTTTAAAAGTAAACAATCGTGTTAACGGGCTTCAGACAGTCTAACAAAATCAGACAACATCGGTTTAACGGACAAAATGTGAAATCAGAAATACCAGACATGCCTCGCAGTGGAGCTGGGCGAATTGCTTATCAGCAATGAGTGTTGTTTGCGTTTCAGCGAATTTTATACAATATATTCACGACACGTTAAATAAAAAGCTTGTATATTTATGATAAAAAGCCCAGGAAAAAAACACTGACTAGCTTGGTTGGGTGACTTGCGTGACTAAACTCCGACTGTAGAAGAGAAGTTACGCAAACACAGCGACTCACTGCGGGAAAAAAAAAAGTTTTGTTCCCTCTTTGTACAAAACGTATTACTCCGCAGTAGAGAAAGGAGGGATAACGGCTTTGTGTAGTGTTTGTTGTTTTTTTTATTTCATCAAAGTTTGATGATAGTTCCTTGTCTGTTCAATAATAGCATCTAGAGCTCGCCCCTGTAAGGAAATTCAGAGTGAACTGTACGACTGGCGGACCGCCTCTTAAAAGATTCGGGAGAACTAAAGTCGGATTTGTTTTCTCGACGCGAAGTTAGGGAAAGTAAGGTAGTTTTTTATACAAGCTGTAATTTTCTATGCGGGACTCAACTGAGCTTCAGAACTCAGACGCGCTGGAGACCCCTGTGCTTTCTTTCGTTTTGCTCTGAAGTGTTGGGCTGTTCGTAAAAACCAGGGGCGTTGCTGTGTGACTTGTCTGTCTATCATAATAATAATAATTGCTTACACTTATATAGCGCTTTTCTGGACACTCCACTCAAACCATAAAGTTATCAAACTCTAAAGTTATCACTGTTGCATGAAAAGGTGCCGCTTTTGGAAATCTGTGGACTAACAAAGAGAAAATTTGGATTAAAAACAAGTTCTGTCGAGGTAAGTCTCTTTTAACTGCAGAGGTCCGCTTTGTAGGATGAATTTTGTAAGCGAAAGAATGCCGTGAGCAGTCGTGGTTGAAGCCAAGCAGGAGCAGAGCTGCGTTTTATCTTTCTTGTTATTTTTTTTTCTTGAGCCACTGTTCCTGACGTTTCAGAGCTTCCTGGTAATGATGAGCCCAGAACTTTTTAAAAGTTATTTGTAGCTTGGTAAGGGTTAAATCTTATTCTTTGGAAAGGACAGGTTGAATAGGCCACAGACAGACAAATGCTGCATTTTAAAACCTTATTTGTTTTGTCGAATCTACAGCAGTTCTCTCACAGCTGTTAAAAGCACCTCCTACTACACTCCCGTTGTATCGGAGATGTATCTGGGCACCAGACTTTAGGTACAGGAAGGAAGTCTGTGGGCTCTTTCGCACTAGAGAGAAACCTCCTTTAGGCCACAACTCTCGGCTTTAATCTGTTATCTGCAGCACAGAAAACAATCCACTTATTCACCCTTTTTTACCGCAGTCCACAGCATTTGAAGTCTGTTCCTGCAGCATGGAGAGCCTCTTTGTGGTCACTGGTGCTTGTGCAGCGACAGTAGCTCCACACTTTGACTCTGCAGTTACCTTTCATCTTAAAGGATTATTGTTTAAGATTAGTCATTAATAATACATTAGCGCATCCCCTGTGAGCATCACATCGTTTCGATATGCTTGGCAACACTCCATAGGAAGAGTTCATGATGGGTTCTTGATGGCCTCATTGAATAAATTATTGGCTTTAATGGGCATTGATTTACCGCTGTCTCCAGTTGTTCTTTAGCTTTGGAGGAGTCTTTGTTCTCTACAGAACCTGCAGGAGTGTCTCTCTGAAGATCAGGAGAGACTATAACACTAGAGTACAGGGCACTGTTGAATGGGCTTACAGTACAGTTAATCATATCTAACAAGTGAGAGCATGCCACAGTCCACACTGCTTCCTGTTTCTTGTACTGTATGTCCTTCTCAGCTTTGGGCCATTGAAGGTTGCTCCACTAAATAGTAAATTGCAACAACTCTGTAATCTGTGTTGTGCGTTTTGTACAGGCTGAATAAATATCAGATACCTACACACTTCCTAATACCATGATTCTTCGTTACCAGTTGTCATTTCCCCATTTCCCCATTCAGTGACAAAGACTCCAGCTAACTGCACAGTAAAACATCTACTGAATAGAAAAGGAACACAGATAACAGTTTTATATCAGTACACAGCTGAATAAATGTCTGCCCTGTCTCGGGCAGGGGGATTTCAACAAGTACTTTATACATAGGGAGACAAGAAAGTCAAACAATAAGATGTAAGGGGGCACCCGGATTTGAACCAGGGACCTCTTGATCTGCAGTCAAATGCTCTACCCCTGAGCTATACCCCCACACTCCTGGGCTTGTGTTTCTCTGCAGGCAGAGCAAGATGTTCAAAAAACTGACCAAGGACATTGTGAATGAACTGGACCCTCATGGCCACCTGCACCCAGTCCAGAGTCTGTACGACTCTCATAAGTTTGAGCTGCTGACTGTGGTGAAGAAGCACGTGGAAACCAGGTTACTGCTCTGGAGTGTCAACCGATTTGTTCCAACAGGGATAAAGCTGGATTGTTTGCTTGCTCATGGAGACACTGTGGATATAGGTGAGAATCGGCATATTGGTTCCATTTTAGAAATATGATGAATGAATAACCCAAGACATGCATTTATTTTTATCAAAGACATGATGCTAATAATCTACCTTGGAGGGCCTGGTTTCTGCTAAGAAGGTTACAAGTTCCGGGGTGTGTGCAAGGGTATGTGTTGGGAATGTCCATCCAGGTTTGGAGTGAATAACCTTGTTTGTCCACCTGTGTGCCTGCCACCCTCTCTCACTCTGTCTTTTCCCTTCAGGAAAGACAACAAACAAACTTGGTTCAGTGAAGGCAAAGCAAGAGGACGCTGTTGAAGTGAGAGGTCCTGTAATAGGTTCTGTGGTGGATGGAGAGGCGGGGGTGACAGTGGTCAGCCGCAGCTCTGCAGGTTCCACTGCCATGGAGGTGGAAGCGGTCAACATTAATGACCTTCACATGAAGCTAGAGGAGAGGTGAGGAGGACTGGGAACTGGGGACTGGGGGGGCGGGGCTTCAGAAACAGGAAGGAAGAGAGGAGAGAGAGGAAGTGTGGCCACGTTGCTTGATGTCTCACTGCGGTCAGCCTTTTATTATCTGGTGTCTTCTACTGGCGCTCCACTGGAACACCTCCCAACTGCATTGCACATGTTAATGTTACTGTTACCCTGTTGTGTTATTTGCATTTTGTACACTGGTCTTTTCTCTTTCAGGGCTTTGTTTCCCTTTCAACTGTGGCACATGTGGTAAAAATAAGTGACTAAATAAAATGATTAACAAAGGGTACTCATGTGCTGCACTGCTCTTTGACAGAAAATTCAACCACAACCACTGGCTGATGAAAAAGCTGAAGAACCAGAAGGTGTCAGGACTGTATGTGGTATCGGAGATCCTCAGAGCCAAGACCGCAATAGACCTGCTGCAGAACCTATATGGAGATGCCACCTTAAGTTTCTGTATCAGCAACTTATTCACGGTACCACTAACTGGACCTCCACCGCAGTAACAGCAGTAACACATCTGTTTCTAGTCTGTAACATCTGTAATAACTAGCCACCTGTAAATTGATCTGACCTCTGGACTTCGTATGTTTGATAAATAATTCTACTTAAGTGTGATTTTGTAACTGGGCTGTTAATGAAAGATTATGTATTATCCCGGTATAATAGTTCCTTCCTTTCCTTCTCTGGTGAGTTATATCACAGATGTGCAGTGTTTTAAAGCACTATGCCTTTAAAGTCACAGTGTGCACTGGTCTTAATGACTTAACTGGAACAATTATTTGCTATGTCACTGTGTTATATTCCAGACACCTACTGTCTAGAGTTTTAATTTGAAGCTTACTGCAACACCTGTGTCACCCTCCAAAACCAGTGTAGCAGACACTTACCCCAGAGTGGATGGTGGACCCTGGGGAACTATTTTACAGAATTCCCTCCGCCTTGTGGGTCTCTCATTTCAGATTGGTGGAAAAGTGAAAGGGGAGCGTGAGAAGGAGCTGAAGGTGGAGGCAGGGAGTGCGCTGGCGTTCAGGCTTTTGGAGATCAAGGTGGACGACGATGGACTTCTCAGTGAGTGTCTTGTTAACTCCTTTTGGGTGCTTTGGCCAGCTTCTCAATCATGCTGGGCCAGGAGCCACGCCACCTTCTGTAAATTACCCACCACAGGCAGGGCCTGGCCGTCTTGAAGCTTCCATTCCTTGCAGTGTCTTTTACTGCTGACCCTTAGTTTTGTATGTGATTTTCACCAGCATGGGCGCTAGTAAATGTAGGGCCCTAGTCTATGGTGTCCAGTCCTGGCCCTGTAAGGCCAGTGTGCCTGCAGGCTTTATACCTACAGTAGACCAGGTTTTCAAGGTTTCTTTAGAGCAGCTGCATCTATACAATTGAAAGAAGCTGCTAAATTGAACCCATTCGTTCCTCGAGCATCAGCTAGTATTGCTCGTAAAGAGCTTAGTTGGAATGAAAACAGCAAACACGTTGACCCTCCAGGACCAGGATTGGACAAGTTGGGTGTAGTTCAGGGGAACGGTTTGGACTTGCAATGGAAAAGAAAGGACTGAAAAAGACAGATTTGCCTCCTTATGCTCTGGCGCAGAGAGCAGAGCATGGTTCCTTGTGCAGAGATGAGCAGCTAACTGTGTTTGCTGATGTTGCTGGAGAGCTGTGGACAGACAGATGTCCAGCAGCTCTAGGATGGTCAGTTCTGTGGCTGAGCTCTTTTCCCATGTCATATCTTGCAGGTGATCTTGAGGAAGAAAAGAAAAGCAGAAGTTTCTTCTTCTCTGATGGTACAGTACATCCTTCCTTACTTACAGTCAGAATCAGTGGTTTGCATTGGAATAAGGCTGTGTGACGCTAAGGACAGTCTCAGGAAAAGTTGGAAGGCTTGGGATTAGACAACTGCCCCGGTCTTGGCTCTCAGTACAATGGCAACTCCTTCAAGCTCCCAGGTACCTTCTGATGACCTGCAGCGATTCGAACCCGGGCTCTAAGTACACACGGCTCCACTCCCTAGACAGCACATCACTCTTGCACACCGGAAGTCTGGGTCCCTCTGTCACAGCAGCCCAGTTTTACACCGTGTAGATTTCAGAGAGGGGATGACGTCACCCCTATAACTGTGTGCCTTATTGCACCTGCATGCTTGCAGTCCTCCTGCAACTGGCATAAATCCCTCCTATGAGGAGCTGTGCCATGTGTAACATGTGAAAAGACAAATAGCTCACCTGTGTCTGCATCAAGGTGGAGGAAACTGTACCCTATATGGCACAGGAGTCATTGCTGTGATCAGGAATGCAGAAAGACTTCAAATTGGGTGGGTATAAAATAAATCAAAACGTGTTTCTCTCTTGATTAGGAATTGGTTAGGAAAACACTTAAAGTTGTTTTTTTCCTGTTCATCTTGTAGGAGTGTCATGTATTGCAGATGATGCCAAGGGTAAGTGCTAAAAAGCATAATATGTCCAATCCTATTTCTCCATTATTAACATATTTAGCAGGTTAAACCTTCTGTAGTGTCTGACTTCTGTATTTGTCTTTCAGATTTCCCGGCAATGAAACGCAAAGTTGAGAAGGAGTTCCAGGAATTCAAGAACCTGGATAGTAGCTCCAGAGAACACATCTGGAAACACCTGTCCCAGACGTTGACATCTGGCCAGGCCCTGTCCACCCTGGATAGCATAGTAAGGGGGATTTGGGGAATGCACTGTCTATCTGAGAGCAACAACACACAAGACCCAGACCCAGGCCCACTCGAGCAAGGAGTGACTGTGTGTCACATGCTGTTGCTCCAGTGTATCTGCTATGTCTCATTTCAGCCTGGCAGACTGCCCTGCTTGTTAGATGGCACCACCAGCTGAAATCTTCCTGTCTACCTTGCATGACCAAAAAAGAGTTTAATGCTGCCAAGCTACTCACTACAGACCACGTGCTTGCCTTTTTGATGTGCTCAGTCCACTTTATTCATTACAATGTTATTGATGCCCTAAAATGTTAATGGCAAATTTCAGCGACAGCTAGAAGCATACAGTAGCTGACCCATTTACCTGGCCAGGAAAGATGATGTCAGTGAAATACAGCGAATGCTTAAGTTCCAACCTTAACCACTGATCACCACCAAGCTTGAAAGGTACAGGGCTGAAAAAGCGACCTGTGATTTAACCAGTCAAGGAAAACCAGTCAGTATCTACAAACTACCAATAAAAGGATCTGGTCTGTTGGTGCTGTACCCCCAGCGAGGCAAGGGGATTGTTTGTAGGGCGTGAAAGAGACCTGGTCATCTCTGTGAACAAGAACGTGGAGAGGTGACAAAAGTGGAACACAGAGGGCTACTGAAGCAGACAGTAAAATTGCTTTAAAGCCACATTAGGAAGAAACTGCAGTCTTATTCTGACACGCAAAACCAACTGTGGGATGTGAAAACGTAATGGGAAAAAGAGATGCACTTCTGAGAGTCGGCTGTGCACAATGGCAGCATTGAAGCAGTATGTATATCTGTGCATTTGTGGGATTGCAGATGGAGGAGAGGGAGGTGTGTGCAGGCGATCTGTCTGCTCTGGAGGCTGTACCTGGGGAGGTCAGGTCCTCGGTAAACGAGCTGCTGAGCATGGTGGGACTTGACGCCTGTGATCCCAACGAGCTGTGCTCTCCCCTCGGGCTCCTGGTCAGTGCTTTCAACGGTGAGCATGGTTTCCACTGCACTTTGTTCACGGTGCTGTGATGGTGAGGATTGCTGCCTCGCGTTTCCAGAGCCTTCAGCTTGATTCTGGCCTCGGGCATCTGTCTGTGTGGAGTTTGCATGTTTCCCCCATATTTTACAGGCTCAAGTAAAATTTAGGTCCAGTATAATATGCAAAATAAAATGATAATTTTTCTAGCACATGTATATACAGTATAGGATTTGATTGAAGAGTCAGGAGTTATTATGTTCAGCTTTGGCAGCTGTGCTGGTCGCTTTTACTGTAAGGACTTACAGAACCTGGTCTGCGTTCAGCCATTCGG